CCATTCTATCAATGTCATTCAGACTCCCTGGACTTAACATATAAAATGAGATAACTCCAAGAAACATTTATTTTTAGCAATAGACCTTCCCATAAAATTTGACCAATCAGAAACAGAGATATATATAAGAGTGGGAAAAGATACCAAAGGGACAATTATAATAAACCATTCACTGCAAGTCTTCAATTTCCAATGGATTTTGGTATACGACGACAATAATATGATATTTTATGCGACCGTCGTATATTGGTATGACGTCGTCGTCGTCCGGCGTCTTCGTCGTCATCCGAGGACACATTGGTTTTCGCACAATAACTTTAAGTGAATGGATCTCTATGAAATTTTACCATATGGTTCAGTACCACAAAAGGAAGGTTGGGGTTGATTTTGGGGGTTATGGTACCAACAGTTAAGGAATTAGGGGCCAAAAATAAGCATTTTTGTAACTTCCAGACAATAACTTGTGTGTTAGTTTATGGATCTCTCTGAAATTGTACCACAAGGTTCCATATCACAAAGGGAATGCTGGGATTGATTTTTGGGGTAGTTGCCTCAAAATTTTAGGAATTAGGGGCCAAAAAAGGGGCAAAAAACAAGCATTTTTCTAGTTTCGTGACAATAACTTGTGTGTTAGTGTATGGATCTTTCTGAAATTGTACTACAAGGTTCCATATCACAAAGGGAATGCTGGAATTGAGTTTGGGGGTAATTGCCCAAAACATTTAGGAATAAGGGGCCAAAAAGGGGCTAAAAATAAGCATTTTTCTAGTTTCCAGACAATAACTTGTGTTCAAGTGTATGGATCTCTCTGAAATTGTACTGCAAGGTACCATACCACAAAGGGAAGGCTGGGATTGATTTTGGGGGTAATTGCTTCAAAATATTAGGAATAAGGGCCAAAAAAGGGGCAAAAAACAAGCATTTTTCTAGTTTCAGGACAATAACTTGTGTGTAAGTGTATGGATCTTTATGAAATTGTACTACAAGGTTCCATATCACAAAGAGAAAGCTTGGTTTGAGTTTGGGGGTAATTGCCCTATATGTTTAGGAATTTGGGGCCAAAAAACAAGCATTTTTACAGTTTCCAGACAATAACTTGTGTTCAAGTGTATGGATCTCTCTGAAATTGTACTGCAAGGTACCATACCACAAAGGGAAGGCTGGGATTGAGTTTGGGGGTGATGAATCATAAGGGGTTCCAAAAATTGGGGGGGGGGGGGATTTTTTTTTCCTTTTTTTTTTTCTTTAAAATTTTCCATTTTAAGTTGGTTATTTTTTATTTATATATAAAAGCAAATAGTAATGATATGGTTTGATTTCATCAAAAATTGAAATATAGGGGTTCTTTGATATGCTGAATTTAACCGTGTATTTAGATTCTTAATTTTTGGTCCTGTTTTCAAATTGATAAAATTGAGAATGGAAATGGGGAATGTGTCAAAGAGACAACAACCCGACCATAGAGCAGACAACAGCCGAAGGCCACCAATGAGTCTTCAATGCAGCGAGAAACTCCTGCACCCGGAGGTGTCCTTCAGCTGGCCCCTAAACAAATATGTATACTAGTTCAGTGATAATGGACGTCATACTAAACTCCAAATTATACACAAGAAACTAAAATTAAAAATGATACAAGACTAACAAAGGCCAGAGGCTCCTGACTTGGGACAGGCGCAAAAATGCGGCGGGGTTAAACATGTTTTTTGAGATCTCAACCCTCCCCCTATACCTCTAGCCAATTGGTCTACATTAAGGTCCAAAGGGTTTAAAATTAAACTTAGTTTGATTTTAACAAAAATTGAATTCTTGGGGTTCTTTGGTATGCTGAATCTGACCGTGTATGTATTTAGATTTTGGATATTGGACCATAATAGGTAAATTAAAAAATTTTAAGTTCTTAGACCACATTCATTCTGTGTCAGAAACCTATGCTGTGTCAAATATTTAATCACAATCCAAATTCAGTGCTGTATCAAGCTTGAATGTTGTGTCCATACTTGCCCCAACTGTTCAGGGTTCGAACTCTGCGATCGTATCAAGCTGCGCCCAGCGGAGCATTTTATTTACAGTTGACAAACTTGGGTAGGCCTGCTATGAATGTGTAACCAGAGAGCATGATTCGTCTTAAAAAATCATCTTTGTCTCCACCAGGACTCGAACCCTTGACCTCTGTATTACAAGGCATTGCATATACCGACTGAGCTAAGGAAGTACTTCCTTAGCTCAACCACTTACCGCTGACTAAGTATCTACCATATTTACCAAGGGAAGATGATTTTGTGTGTTGAATCATGCTCTCCAGTTACAAATGATTCCAACAACAAAGGTAGGCGTTTTATACACCATTGTGTAGATTAATCAATTTAGATTTACGACATAAGTTTTTGTGGGGTTGAGAACCGTGAAATTGAAATATAAAGGAATTTCACGACAGGGTGACATTTTTCAAAAATGAGAGTTAAGTACATTGTGTTATATTAAGGTATATAGGAAATTCTTTTTTCTGAGACAAGTGCCTTTGTGTAATGACTATCCCTACAACATTGTACAAACATTTGTGCACTACCAATGTACCTTTAATGATTTGTTATGCCATGATAATCATTGTAAAATTTTTGTATTTTGTGTAAATGCTCCTTGAGGGTCCATGATTGGATAATAAAATCTTGAATCTTAAATCCTACTATCATTACTATGAAGGGCAAATTTCAAGTGAATTTTTTTAAACCACTTCCCAGTATAAAAGGGCACATATTTGTATAGTTTTCAGAAAATTTTCCCGAAGAACTATACCAATATCTGTATTATATTGTGACTGGTTTGCTTCCCTTAGTACATGTGGAAGATACTTAGCCAGACGTTAGCAGTTGAGCTAGAGAAGCACTTCTTTAGCTCAGTTTTGTAACCTTGTAACACAGAGGTCCTGGGTTTGAGTCTCTGAGGAGACAAGTGATTTTGTAATGAAAATCATGCTTTCCAGTTACAATATTGACAAAACATGTCCATGAAATTTAGAATATTCATGGACTTTAACATGTGTTTAAACTCCTTTATTATTGAAAATATGAGCATCCCTCTTTAAGAAAAGGTGTTCTAAATATTATGAATTTTCAACCTTACACAATGAAAAGAATGATTTTATATTTGGTCTACAGCTCATCCTGTAAATACTTTTCTGACACCAGCAGTTCTTTCTGTTTGCTCATGTTTATTGTAGCTTTTTTCAATGAACTTTAAATTTATCTTCCTACTACTCTTTTATAAGCCTCCAGCGAGTAATTTTTGAATGCCTTGTGCAGTTACTTAACAACTATGCACAGTAGATTTATTTGTTTAATGTTGAAAATATTAGCAAAGCAGAATTTTTTTTCATAGGAATATACCAACCAACAGTCAGGGAAATTACTTCAATGAGTGATCTTAAAACACTGATTCAAGTAAAATTTTGTCTAGAGACGTTGGAAGTAAAGAGTTATCTTTCATTAATCTCCTATTTAAGTAGTACAAATAAATCACTAGACTAAGTGATATAATTTTATCATGTTTATTGTAGCTTTTTAAAAATATATAATACTAATCCAAGGACTCATTATGTTGCTAACATTATCAGAACCAACATCTGTGTTTTTGTCGAGCCTTCGACTTTAGTCGAAAAAGCGAGACATAGCGATCCTACATTCCGTCGTCGTTGTCGTCGGCGGCGTCCACAAATATTCACTCTGTGGTTAAAGTTTTTGAAATTTTAATAACTTTCTTAAACTATCCTGGATTTCTACCAAACTTGGACAGAAGCTTGTTTATGATCATAAGATAGTATCCAGAAGTAAATTTTGTAAAAATAAAATTCCTGTTTTTCCGTATTTTACTTGTAAATGGACTTAGTTTTTCTGCCAGGAAACATTACATTCACTCTGTGGTTAAAGTTTTTAAAATTTTAATAACTTTCTTAAACTATCCTGGATTGTACCAAACTTGGACAGAGGCTTGTTTATGATCATAAGATAGTATCCAGAAGTAAATTTGTTAAAAAAAAAAATTCATTTTTTCCGTATTTTGCTTATAAATGGACTTAGTTTTTCTGCCAGGAAACAATACATTCACTCTGTGGTTAAAGTTTTTAAAATTTTAATAACTTTCTTAAACTATCCAGGATTTGTACCAAACTAGGAGAGAAGCTTGTTTATGATCAATAGCTAGTATCTAGAAGGAAATTTTGTTAAAATTTTGTACCTGTTTATCCGTATTTTACTTATAAATGGACTTAGTTTTTCTTCCAGTTAACATTAAATACAGTCTGCAGTTAAAGTTTTTAAAACATTTATTAGATTCATAAACTATCCTTGATTTATACCAAATTTTGACAGAAGCTTCTTACAATCAAAAGATAGTATCTCAAGGAATATTTTTATTGATTTTTTTCCTCATTTTTGTTGAGCCTGCGATTAACAGCAAAAGTAGGCGAGACACTGGGTTCCGCGGAACCCTTACGAATTTTTAGGATGACTAGGCATGTTAGGTGATGACCTTGTACTGAATCTGGCAAAATCACTTGTTTAAGTATCATACCTCTATTTTCTTCCAAAAAATCACTTCTTTAAGTTTTTTTATTTTAATTACCCCAACTAATTTCAACACCCCTGAACAGACAAACATGACAGTGAAATTTTGATCGCAAATAGTAAAATTGTACTACATAATTAATCTGTAAGATGAAACCTTGATGTTTAAAATTTTGGTAAAACTGCAAAATCACAGAATTTCTAATTTGCTAATTAAATGAGTGATATTTCAATAATTCCCCTGACTGACCAAAATTTCAGATTGAAGGTGTTAAAAGAAATTTGTGTATTAGGTGTATAACTTAATTTTGGAGAAGATTAAACAGTCAGGGGTACTACTTAAACAACACTGTGTATCATCGCCACCGGAAATTGGGTACTAACGAAGCGGAGAGAAATGGGAAAAAAAGTAAACAAGGTAAGAATTCGTTCAATTTAAAGCATTTCTACTGATTTGACTAGGGTACCGCTTAAGAAATGATTTTCTGATATATAATTCTTTTAATTATTAGGCCGATAAGTACAAAATTAAGACAAGCTTTTGTGTTATACTCAAGAACTTGCCACTTAGTACCTGAAAATTTCGAGGTAGATCGTCCTCTGTCGCCCCATTGGCAAGATATTCAACTGTTTTTCATTATTTTTCCAGACACGTTTTTAGATTATCATAGTGTGGCATCATATTTACTGAAATTTGTTGTCAAAACGAACGTTTTTAAAGAATATAGACCATAAAAAATAAAGTCTAGGGTACGGCAACTTGCTCATGTTGACAAATTTACTGTATGGCAACTTGTTTTCAACTGTATGGCAACTTGCTAATTTCAAAATATTTATTTGCCGTCTTTTTAAAGAAAATAAAGTATTAGGTTCATATATCTAGTTATGCATTTGATAAAAATACAATTCGCTTGACACCATTTAAGATGTATACACAATATAAGGCTTGAACACAGTCCTATTACATCTTTTACATACCTGATGTATACAATATGAATACGGCATATACAAAAGCTGGCAAATGTTGTAACTTTCGGAAAGGCATGTCACTGTTTTACTGACCTGTTGTTCTGCCCTGACGTAGCGTTAAATGTTACCCTACGAAATGCTCATCACCACAAAACACAGATCAAGTTATAAATTGGGTAGCGTCACTGTTACCGTTCTTGAGTTATGCCCTTTTATAAATGAAAAAAAGCTAAAGCTGTCGTTTCTGTTCTCAAACTTTAGATTGCCTCAACCAAATGTTTAACCATACAACATTAGTCAGAATTTGCATATAAGTGATGAACATTTCGGGGATGTGTTGTGGGTGGAGGGAAGGAAGGAGGTAATGGCAGGAGAATTTTTCCGCATTGAATATTTAGAACCATTAAGTGAATGAATTCTCTTTCAATTTTCAGATAAAATGAAATATAAATGAATTATCATTCTCTGCCAAAAAAAATGTTGTATTGCTACATCACGGCACCATGTTAAGGGAGGTTTGAGTGCTCACAAACATGTTTAAGCCCGCCTCAATATATATGTGTCTGTCCCTGGTCAGGAACATGTAATATAGCGGCTGTCGTAAGTTGCTGCCTGACATATTTGTTTATGATTTTGTCATAAATCAGGCAATTTTGATACGGTATGGGTTTTGTTCATTGTGAAGTGTATAGTAACCAATAGTTGGTCAAATCTATTTCATTTGGACTTTGTTTGAAAGTCCTCTCAGTGAAAACCATTCCACGTCTCCTTTTTCAATTAATGTTATTGTCTTATTTGTAAAAGGCAGATACAGCCAATATATTAGAATAAAGAACATTAATTTTCTAAAAAAAGACTTCATCTCTATATAGTAAGAAATGAACAAGCTCGGTGGCTAACACTGTTTAAATTAAAAAAAAATATTAACCTTAGATTAATCATTTTTGGAAAGAATGAAAGAAGAATCCGATACAAGGGATACAAATCCGGCTGTGGCTACGGCATAAACTATTTATATAAACTTTCTACTTGAGAATAAAGATGACCTTGTATGAAGTTTTTTTGGTTGTCATCTTAATATTATATACTTATTAATACAATTCACAAAAGCTAGCATCTCCGACTTGTAAGTTTAAAGAATTATAATGAAATAACATCTAATAAGGACAGGTTGAAATATTTTTGAATCCTGATGGTGCATACTCACAAATTCTTTTGGAAAAATTCACGTAAATTTAAATGTTGATTTGATAGCATTCATTTATTTATTTGCCCTCGTAAACAGTTTTGTTAAAATACCGAAATCTGTAAATTCTTATCGTGAACGAATAAGTCGGGTACACCTTTTTACATTCAGGCGTGCTTAAGTTGCACTTTTTTCTTCGTATTAAGAAAAATGATTTTAATTTTAGCATCTATCTAAAGATTAGATTATTTACACACACACAAAAATAGGGCTTACTGTTGATTTTGAAACTCTATGAATTCACATTTATATTCAACCAAACAGATAGGCCTAGATCCATACCTTTATAAGTTTCAAAACAGAGAAGGTGTGTTTGAAAACAAATAATCACGTACTGCTATATCTTTTAAGGCAAATGCAAGTCTTACTTGTATTATTTATATAATTTTAATTGGCACAATATCACATTAAAATTTACTGAGAAATATTATACATAGTAATCATGAAAATGTACTACTGTAACAATGAAAATTTGGACGAATACACTCCTTTTCACTACCCCTCCATCTACTCATTTAAGTTTAGGCCAAACAGCCTTAGCAACAGTCTTTTATTATTTTTTCCCTGTAAATAAAAAGATTGATTGAATTTATTTAAACTCAAAAAATAGAATCTTATTTTCAATAAGAAACAAGAAAATTAATTCGAAACACAATTCATGATTTATTTCTCCTAATTTTCAATGAAAACAAAGTATTTTCTTCACTTTTCTTTTAACAAATTATTCATTTCAGAAATTTAAAAAATAAACAATAAACAATGTTGAAGACCGTACCTTGACCTATAATGGTTTACTTTAAAAAATTGTGACTTGGATGGAGAGTTGTCTCATTGGCACTCATACCACATCTTCCTATATCTATTTAACCCAGCACATTCTTTATGTGTCTGTCCGAAGCCACGAGCCTGTAGTTTGGTGGTTGTCGTTGGTTCATCTCTATCATATTTGTTATTTTTCGTTAATTGTTTTGTTATGAGTTAGGCCGTTAGTTTTCTTGTTGAATCCTTCCACAATTTTCATGTCGGGACTTTTTATAGCCGACTGTAAGGTACGATTTTTCGTTGTTGAAGGCCAAACGATAGCATATAATTGCTTACATACACTTTATTTGACCCTGGTGGATAGTTATCTTATTTGCAATCATACAACATCTCCACTGTTTATATTTAAAAAAAAAAACAGCGCCAACAAAAGATGAATGGTCGTTTTTTTTTATTGAACTTACAAAATTTCACCCTGACAACAAATAAGACAACAGTCGTTAGTATTATATCGATATATGAATGTATTTAGGATAATATGGTTGAAAAAAAACTTTTTGTCTTTAAAAACACAAAGTCAAATAGAGGTACGCAACGACGACTTCTGAACGAAATTAACGGCATATATCTTATAATATTTGATAAGTAGTTTATTTTGTATATTTGTAAGCCGGTAAAGCTTTGATACAGCCAAAATTTCGTCACTTGATATTATCTAAACAGTGATTAATTTCATCTTTAAATTACAATATATTGCAAGACGCCGTACAGACAAAAGTTGTTATTTTGCAATTCGCCGTACAACGTCCTGCAATTCGCCGTACAATAAACAAACAATGTTTTGGTCCATATTCTTTAAAAACATCTTTATGACAACAGATTTCAGTCAATATGATGTCATACTATCATAATCTAAAAACGTGTCTGGAAAAATAATGAAAAACAGTTGAATATCTTGCCAATGGGGCGACAGAGGACAATCGACCTCGAAATTTTCAGGTACTAAGTGGCAAGATTTGGAGTATAACACAAAATATTGTCTTAATTTTGTACTTATCGGCCTAATAATTTAAAGAATTATATATCAGAAAATCATTTCTTAAGCGGTACCCTCGTCAAATCAGTAGAAATGCTTTAAATTGGATGAATTCTTACCTTGTTTACTTTTTTTTTCCATTTCTCTCCGCTTCGTTAGTACCCAATTTCCGGTGGCGATGATACACAGTGAACAAGTGATTTCATTATCACCTATTTCAGTGATTTGATAAATTCAGTAATCACCTATTTGAGTGATTTTGGTGTTTCCTTTGATCTTCAAATGTTCATTTCATTAATTTTCCATATTTTACAAATTTATCTGTAATTTTCCTACATAGATCAATTATCCCTTTTTCTTTGTATATTAATATCACCAGTGCGCCTGGGCAGTAAGTTAGTGCGCTAAAGCTTTTGAAAGTACCCTTGGGAATTTTTCTCTAATCAAATATTCATTAACTACTCTTACAATCAGACAAAGGTCAACAATTTTAAGTAACCTGATTGGTCTCCTTTAGAGTTAGAATGATCTACTTCAAGTTTATGTCCTGATCTACAAATTATTCCAGTTTATGCATATTTTGTATAAACTGTAAAAACTGACAGGCTTATCAAGCAAAAGATAATTTCTGCATGTATATAGCTGTTTTTTTTAAATTGAATCCTTGTCTTTCTACCAATAATAAACCCAAGCTTGCAGGGAAAATATCAAGAAAATGTTATAAACACTTATTTAGTTATAAACATTTTTATACGACCGCAAAAAAATTTTTGTGGTCGTATATTGGTATTACATTGGCGACGTCGTCGTCGTCGTCCGAAGACACATTGGTTTTCGCACTCTAACTTTAGTTTAAGTGAATGGATCTCTATGAAATTTTAACACAAGGTTCAATACCACAAAAGGAAGGTTGGGATTGATTTTGGGGGTTATGGTACCAACAGTAAAGGAATTAGGGGCCAAAAATAAGCATTTTTGTAACTTCCAGACATAACTTGTGTGTTAGTGTATGGATCTCTCTGACATTGTACCACAAGGTTCCATATCACAAAAGGAATGCTGGGATTGATTTTTAGGGTAGTTGCCTCAAAATTTTAGGAATTAGGGGCCAAAAAAGGGGCAAAAATCAAGCATTTTTCTAGTTTCATGACAATAACTTGTGTGTAAGTGTATGGATCTTTCTGAAATTGTACTACAAGGTTCCATATCACAAAGGGAAAGCTGGAATTGAGTTTGGGGGTAATTGCCGAAACGTTTAGGAATTGGGGGCCAAAAAGGGGCCAAAAATAAGCATTTTTCTAGTTTCCAGACAATAACTTGTGTTCAAGTGTATGGATCTCTCTGAAATTGTACTGCAAGGTACCATACCACAAAGGGAAGGCTGGGATTGATGATGGGGGTAATTGCCTCAATATTTTAGGAATTAGGGGCCAAAAAGGGGCAAAAAACAAGCATTTTTCTAGTTTCATGACAATAACTTGTGTGTAAGTGTATGGATCTTTCTGAAATTGTACTACAAGGTTCCATATCACAAAGGGAAAGCTGGAATTGAGTTTGGGGGTAATTGCCCTAAACGTTTAGGAATTTGGGGCCAAAAAGGGGCCAAAAAACACATTTTTCTAGTTTCCAGACAATAACTTGTGTTCAAGTGTATGGATCTCTCTGAAATTGTACTGCAAGGTACCATACCACAAAGGGAAGGCTGGGATTGAGTTTGGGGGGTGATGAATCATAAGGGGGTTCAACAAATTTGGGGGGGGGGATTTGTTTTATTTTCCTTTTTTTTCTTTTTTTCCTTTTTTTTTTCTTTTAAAATTTTCCATTTTAAGTTGGTTATTTCTGATTTATATTTAAAAGCAAATAATAATGATATGGTAGGAGATACACACCAAACAGGATGTGTAAATTATTATATAATAAGTATTGTGCAATAGCAAGAAATTTTCAATTGCACAGTATTGCACAATAGCAAGAAATCTTCAATTGCACAGTATTGCGCAATAGCAAGAAATCTTCAATTGCACTGTATTGCGCAATAGCAAGAAATATCCAATAGCACAATATTGCGCAATAGCAAGAAATTGTCAATTGTACAGTATTGCGTAATAGCAAGAAATATTTAATTGCACAGTATTTCGCAAAAGAAGATACTTTGTATAAATTGCTTATTTCTTGACCAATTTCAATGGGGTTTTATTCTTGAATTCTTGGGGTTCTTTAGTATGCTGAATCTAACCGTGTATTCAGTTTTTGGATTTTGGGCCCCATTTTTAAATTGGTCCACATTGAGGTCCAAAGGGTCCAAAATTAAACTTTGTTTGATTTCATCAAAAATTGAATTATTGGGGTTCTTTGATATGCCGAATCTAACCATGTATTTAGATTCTTAATTTTTTGTTCTGTTTTCAAATTGGTCTACATTAAGGTCCAAAGGGTCCAAAATTAAACTTAGTTTGATTTTAACAAAAATTGAATTCTTAGGGTTCTTTGATATGCTGAATCTAAACATGTATTTAGATTTTTGATTATGGGCCCAGTTTTCAAGTTGGTCCAAATCGGGGTCCAAAATTAAACTTTGTTTGATTTCAACAAAAATTGAATATATGGGGTTCTTTGATATGCTGAATCTAACCATGTATTTAGATTTTTGGGCCCCGTTATCAACTTTGTCCACATTGAGGTCAAAAGGGTCCAAAATTAAACTTTGTTTGATTTCATCAAAAATTGAATTCTTGGGGTTCTTTGATATGCTGAATCTAGATTTTGGATATTGGACCATAATAGGTGAATGTCCAATTTAAAATTTTTAAGTTCTTAGACCACATTCATTCTGTGTCAGAAACCTATGCTGTGTCAAATATTTAATCACAATCCAAATGCAAAGCTGTATCAAGCTTGAATGTTGTGTCCATACTTGCCCCAACTGTTCAGGGTTCGACCTCTGAGGTCATATCAAGCTGCGCCCTGAGGAGCATTTTATTACTTCTCAAATTACTTGTTTCAGTGATTTTAAAATTTCTGTGTCTATTTGGTGAAAATTTTCAATTTTTCAAAGCCAAAATCACTTAAAGATGTGATTTTGAAATCACTTGTACAAGTAGTACCCCTGACTGTTAAAGGGAGATTATTCAAATCTTGAAATGAAAATTAAAATCTTACAAATTTACTTCTACAAGTATTTAATGTGACTTTTGAAATTATTATTATAAATGATTGTGAAATTTTTTTTTGCATCTGACAACCATGCTTGACAAAAATCTAGTATGAATCGTAAGAAAATGAAGGTCATTTTCTAATTTCTCTGGATAAAAGCAATACCAGTACAGTCTGCGCCCTTAGCCACTAGTCATATGTCCCAGAATAATAAAAGTCCTCACAAAACTTTGTTCAGCCACATTTATAAGAAAAATGTTGGAATATTGGTCTTCAAAATAGAAAGAAAAAAGATTTTGGTGCAGACTGCCAGTAGCAGATTTTGCCTCACCTGTGACAAAAGTCCCAGAAAGTGGTACATGCAGCGACGGCTGCAGCTGTGACATGAACAATTGTCAAGTTTTCTGCTTAAGTTAGTTTGATAGGAAGTACTTGTGATCTATCATTGATATTTGATAAAAAGTTGAATTACTATCAGTACATATCAGTTCGAGGAATGCCCTGCCCCCTAGGTCGTGGTCCAGCAACTTTGAATTAACTAACAATTTTCAATGTTAAGTTTTCTGCTTAAGTTAGTTTGATAGAATCTACTTGTGATAGATCATCAATATTTAACATAAAGTTGCATTACTATCAATACATATCAGTTTGACGATTATTTTGAGGCCTATGTCCCCTATGTCATGGTCCAATGACTTTGAATTAATAAACAATTGTCAATGTTAAGTTTTCTGCTTAAGTTAGTTTGATAGGATCTACTTGTGATAGATCAATGATATTTTTGTATGAAGGCCCATTATTATCAGAACATATCAGTTTGACGACTATTCTGAGGACCATGGTCCTAAGGTCAGGATCCAGTGACTTTGAATTCATAAGTAATTTTCAATGTTGAAGTATCATGCTCACCAATTTCACTCAAATTCTCATATTTGATTTATAACATACTAAAATGTATATCCAAATTATAAACTGTCAGGGGTACTACTTGTACAAGTAATCTTTATTTACGTGAAGAAGTAAAAAAAATATACTTATATAAGTTAATTACAATGTTTGAATAATCTCCCCTTAATTTTCTCAAAAAATCACTTGTATAAGTAAATTTTTTTTACAATCCCACAAAAATTCTCAAGTTTTGAGATGTAAAAACATGCCTTTAATGATTTTACCCAGGTTAGCTCATAAGTTTTGATTAGAGTTCAATGTTTCATCTCATTAATTCAACAAAGAAACTGATTGAGCAAAGATCTTAAGTATATTTGGGCAAGGCCTTCAAAAATTGCTCCTTGGGGACTTGTAAATGAGCAGTGTTCTGAAGATAACAGACAAATGAGATTTTCATTGTCCATGAAATTACACTTTAATGATTAGTTGAGATATCTGCAAAGGACAGACAATTTAAAATTCTATTAGAGCAAAGAAGTCCTAAGAATTCAAGAAAAGAAGATAGGATGAATTTTTCACTTATATAAGTAAAAAAATCTGAATGTCTAAGGGACATAACTAAGCCAATTTTTTTTTTACCTATACAAGTAAATAAAATACACTTGTATAAGTATCCTACAAATTTACTTATATAAGTATATTGATATTACTTCTTCAAGTAAATAAAAATTACTTGTACAAGTAGTACCCCTGACTGATAAAAAGTCTAAAATAAACAATTTGCATTGCATTGGCTCGATAATATGTATCAGCATTTCGTGTGTATTTTAGTCTAGACGCCATATAATTATAATTAACCATCTAGGTGACCTATGAAGACTGCCGATGGTCATATAATCAGATATAAACATAAATATAGCATGTATAGATATAAATAGATATCGAACTCATGCAATTGGATTTTCTAGGTCTGTTTGATTTCATATTATACAACTATTTTGAGGCCTCTAGTCTAGGTCTTGGTCCAGTGAGTTTGAATTAATTAGCAATTTCATTGTCAAGTTTTCTGCTAAAGTCAGTTTGATAAGAATTACTTGTGACAGATCAATGATATTTTGTATATGTTTGTATTACTGTCAGTACATCTCAGTTTCTTG